GATCAAAATGATCAAAATGGTACAACGTTTTATTAAAAAAATTTGCAAAATAATGTTAATTTTTAACATATTTTTTAAATAAATAAATTTTTCAAAACTCCACTTACGCCATATTATTGGCCTTTAAAAACAGAAAAATTTGCAGTTTGAATTTTTTGTCTAGGCCTAATAGTTCCCGAGATATTTGCGAAAATAATTTTTTCAACCCCAACTTTAAGGGTTATTTTCACCACTTCAGAATGGATGTTTGCCAATAAAAAAAGTACGTGTCAAATATTTTTTCGAGTTCTATAACGTATAAAAATTTCATCAAAATCGGCGTGTATCAGTTGAGTGATGTCCCTTGTAAGTCGGCAACTTGACCCAACAATGAACCGAGATAACATACCTATCAACCTCTTAACCTGAAATCAATCTCAGCCTCGAACATTGAAAACCGTACATTTTTGAGGAAATCGAGATCACAGCACAATTTATATTCGTGTAATTGTTATATCGAGGAAAATTTTGTAAGTACTGTACTTAAGATAAGAAATTCCTATTTTTGAGTAAAAATTGTAGGACTATAGTTTAGGACGGAGGGTAAAGTCTGTTTTCAAAGGCAGAAAAAGGCCATAAAAATGAAAAGCACTGACGAAAACCAGGCCCAAAAGGCTGGATTTTTTTCGTGCAATGCGTAGATGATGAGTGTATGGTGGTGGGACTAAAGCATTAATAAGGGTGCTTTTTGGGAATGCGGGAGAAAATTACGTTGACTTTTGAGAGTTGAGGACCTGTGTACTGTGAGCTACATTGGCATTGGATTGTTTTTCCGTGCTATTTAATCATATTTTTCATATTTTTTTAAAATAAACCATAATTATTTGTAATATACGAAAATTGTCGAAAAGGATTTTTTACTGCAAATGTGTTACAGTTTCATTGGGTAATAAACTGCTGCAGGAATGTCTTCTTTGTTTGAAAAATTGAATTTTTCTTGTTTAATAAATGGAATTTTTATTTTTATTCTTCAAATATTTTAATGAAGGTCAGGTTCTTTTTAAGTTAAAAAAGTATATAATATATGCCTTGAAATTTTACTTACAGAATAGTTTTATTATTAGGTATTGCAAACAATGTTGTGTATTTAGATTTTGAATAAATTCGAAGTCAAAAATATAATAATAAAAGTTCCTTCAATTTTACATACATTGGGGCATATTTTACTTGGAATAAAATCGCAGACGTTAACGTTAAAGAATAATTGATTTAACATGTAATTATTCTTGTATATAATTATTATGATATAATCAAAATATAGTCATTAAATTTTAATAGGAATATAGTTATAATTGAATCAAAATATAGTCATCGTAATTTGATCAAAGTGAAATTATTAAGATTGAGCCAAAGTCCCTTTAAACGAACTATTTTATTAGGTTATTCTATATAAAATGACCGGTTTCGAGAATGGCAAGCCAGCAGATTTGATGACACAGAAATATCGTAAAATAGGACGTATGTCATATCAGTTTGAAACTTAAAGTATAGTAAAAAGAACTATATAGACGTTTCGATAACATTTTTCGTACAAAATAACTAATTGCCAATTATAGAAAACAATGCCCAATTTCAGAATAGAAAGTCTGTCGCAAATTGATGATACATAATTAAGCATATAAAACATAAAATTTTTGTCAGTCTTCTACAATGAAAATTCTGTATTCTACATTTTTTGAGCGAATACATACAGTTAATACTATTACTACGAATTTATTTCATATTTTTTGTATAAATTCGTCTTATTGTGAATGGAACAATTAAAACCCGCATTTTTTAAGTGTGGAAAGTGTCATGACAGTACAGATAATCTATCATTAAATCTTAACTGTACCATAAAACCTGCGAAAATATTTTTGTAAAAATATCACGACGATTATTACAGCGCCGAATATCACGAGAAATTGATATATTTAATGTTATAGTATTAAATACACATTTTCATATGACAATAAACTACTATTTTATTGTTATCGCAAAAACAGTTACTTACATTACAAAATTTACCTGCATCTAATGTCCTCTTGCGTACATAATTTCACCAATACACCTGTGCAGTATTACTCCACTAAATATCAACTTCAGGTTATATCAAACATCTCAATTTCACCTGGATTATTTCAGACAATTTCTTGGAATACTTTAGGTGCTATAAAGAATACATTTGCACGTTACAATAAATTGTAACTTCCATTATTATGAAACTATAACTATATTATTCTCACGTGATATTAAAAGTTATGGTTTTTGTTCCTATTGTGATATTCTTTGAATATGCAGTTTAATGTTATGCTATCAACTAACATAAAGTATGTTCTCACGTAAAAATAAATTTTACTGTTATAACAAAAGTTTCATTTTGCGTTTAGCTATTCAGAAATTGCGTTTAATACTACGTTTTTTGTATGACATTAAAGATAAGTTTTCACGTGGCAGTAATTCGCAACTCTTACTATCATGACAAAAAATGTCACGTTGCTTTTACGACACATTTGTCATGGATTATGCTGGCAAACTTTAATATTTTTATGCAAATAATTTCACGTAGACCAATATTTAAATAAATTGACTACACGTAAGTAATGTCCTAGAAGTTATGAATTTTTAAATCACTGAAATTGTTATGAAATGGAATCAATAAAATTAATAGTAAATAGGATCAGTAAAATTAATCAGTAAAATTCAATCAAAATACAATTGAATGACCTGTAACAATTTTTTAAACTCTTCAAATTACAAGATAGAATTATTTTCCAATTGTTACAATAATATATAATAAATATAATGAATAAACTGTTTGAACAAAATTCGTTATTTAATTAACAAATATGACTCAGAAAGTATTTCTGTTGTATATTTAAAAATTTATCAGTACATCTTCACAAAATATGTTTTCGTTTTTTAAAAGATTAAAACATCATTTTCACACATTTTTTATATATTTCACACATATCTGCAATCTATACTTTGCATATTTTAGTAAAAAGTTTAAACAGTACATCCATAGTTTACATAACAACATCGAAACAATATTTGCTAAAAATAACTTTAAATAAGACTACCGCATGACAGTCTTGTCACATGTCTGAGAGAAAGAATGCTTCCCCTTCTTGGCACACAACAGGAAGCTCATCAATATTGAAATAATTTGTATCGGAAACTGGATAGTTTTCTAAAACGGAAGCAAAGCTTATACTGAAACGAAGAAGGTCACAAGTTCAAAAGTTCAGGCGTCTATAAATGTCTTCATACTATTGATATTGATCAGATTTGAAATTAGTCAAATCTATTAGAGCACATATTATATAAATTCGACCCATCTAAAAATACTTTCATGGTTACTCTATTTAATTTCAAAAATTTTTGCTAATGTATGGTTGTACGATTGCGTGTGAAAAGTCATTTACTGACTATGAGCTACTATTGATTATTCCTAATTAACGCTTTGCATGAAACTGAAGCTTACTTCTATTTCGAATATTTTCGGATTGTTGATAATACAAATATAAATGTTAAATAAACATTTATATGATACTGGATGTTATAAAATAACATTTTATACAGTTTATAATGAAATGACATAGAACATAAAATAAAAGTCAAATATATATGCTTGTATTTTACTTATTAGATAAAGCAAAAGTATAGATACAATAACACGATCTTTGAAACACCAATTTTGTGCAAATTTTGCGCACACGCAAATGACACTAAAGATAACTCTGCAAATTTATATAATGCATTTTTTCAAAATACAAGAGAAATTTTTATTTGAATCTTTAGTAATGTTTATTTGTTTGATTAAAAGTGTTCGTTAACTAAAGTGTTCGTACAACCTTTCTAAGGAAAGGTTGTAAACTGTTGCAATGGGTATAAATGATAACGTATGAGAGAATGAACCACTCTTCTAAATAGAA